TATGTAACATATAGGATGAAATATGTCTGTAATTTATTTGCATTTTCTACTAATTCACCTTTAAGTTTGCCTACATTTACAGTTTCAAACTATGCTACAATATATGTTCATATTTGTACCAAATGAATTATTTATGTGACCATTCATGTGATTTATTCGTGGTATATAATATCCTACTTCCGTTTATTGGTTCATTTTTTAAACATTTTTATCTGAAAGATTACGTCTTAGGTGTGCTCTTAGTTGGTTAGTGGAAGATATAAAACTTTTAAGATTGACTGGTTCACAGTTTACCTATGAATAAGCATCAATCGACTTATAATGAGAAATTATTAATTGTCTGACTTTAATATAAATCTGTCAGATAAAATAAAAATTAAAGAAGGTCAGAAGAACTTGATAGTCACAGTCCCTTTTTATATTATTGTGTGTCCTTAGGCAAGTAGTTTTCCTTTCTAAGTCTCAGCTTTTCAGCTCTCAGGTATCCACAGTGTTGTCTGACCTCCCCACTTTATGAGGATATTGTGAAATTTAAATGGGATAGGCGCAGGCATTTCTGAAAAACTTAAAACTATTATGTAAGCGTCACACATAATCATTATTTATTAAATATGTAATCGAATTTTGAAAATCTAAAATGTGTCACAATACAGGATTGTATAAATTCATTTATGCCAGGTCACTAAATTACGACCATTCCAGACCTTTGCATTATTTATTTCCATGGAAATTCCATAGCATTTCGTCATTTCTGGAAGTCTTAAATTTACCATTCTAATAGAAAAGCTCTGAGCCAGGAGTTATCACAGATGTACATCCCACAGACTTACTATGGGTGTGATTCAGGAAGCTCCCTGTTTTCACCTGCAGACCACAGACTCAGGACACATTGCAGGAGGCAGGATGTCTGTCAGAAGTCCTGATACAAAAAGTAGAATGGCTGAAAGATGGTCAAGAAATTAAATACTTGCTAACCCTTAATGTTAAAAGTCAGAAATGAAAGAGAAAAATATTCAGTTTGGTCTTCAGTGGCTTGTCAGGATGCCCTTCTACCAAATTCCTACTTTCAAACACTTTACTCATTTTGGGTGCAAATTCTCTATGCCATCCATTTCCTCATAAGACACAGGTAAAATTTACCCATTCTATTATAACTCAGATCTGGATGGAGAAGCAGTGCTTAATTAATGATTCTCTTTGAGCAGCTTAAAATGAGTTATTTTGCAATAGTTTAAATGATGTGCTAATAGAAATGCTAGAACACAGAAAAGGAAAGAGACTTCTTTGATTCATTGTCACCTTTTCAGGGATACTCAGATTTTTTAGATAATTAATCCAGGAATTTTCATTGGTATTAGAATGCTCCAATTTATAGGCAAAGAGATAAAAAAAAGCTGTATCTTTTATATTTTGAGATATCTTCCCATTCTGAGAGGTGTTTCTTAAAGAGTTCATAAATTAATCTCTTTCTAAGCTGGCCATCTTGGTAAGTACTAAATTAAATAGGATAAAGTTTTCATTTTCTATGCTACATTAAATAATCATAAAAATATATTTTATTTAAAAAATCTCTTATTGAAAAAATGTTAGCCTGTGACAAAGCAATTAAGAACTAACAATTACCTCAGAATGTCTTCTGTCAAAAAAAAACTTATAGTCAAACAAGGGCCAATTTATTAATTTTACTTTCTCAAATAAAATTTATATGAAATATTTATATTCATTACTTACTATTCCATCAGAGTTGATACAAAATATTAGTGTTTCTCATAAAAAGTTTCAAATGTTGAAGTCATATTATGCTATTCTAGCACATACAAGAAGGCCTACAGATTTTCTGCATTTAAAAAAAAACAACCTTGAACTCCACTTGTATAAGCCATGTCCATTGTTCTGAGTTCCACAAGAAGGTTTAGGAGAAGTGCTGTAAAACTAACTACTTAACAATAAGGAACAACATATAGCTGTACTTATTGCTATAAGGAGGCAAATTTCAACCTGCTTGAATTTCAGAAAGTTTAAAAATGATACAACATAATCATAATGTTGAATGATATTTTATCACTTCTTCATATGAAATGTGTTTTCTATTAAAATGCCTGAATGGCTTCATAGTAATGGATGCTTGTTGGTGAAAAGATCTGGAAATATGCATATCATTTAATATCTGATTAGAATATACATAAAATCAAAATTTACAAAAGAAAATAATTATGGAATACAAAAATATTGCTGTATGAATATATGTCACAGGAAATTCATTTATTCTCATTACCTTCTCTGGGTCCAATTTCCTCAAACTCCAAACTCTAGTTTTCTGTGTCCACCTGCATTTTCTGTCCTTTGTCTGATCACTTGTAGCTAAATGCTGTATTTGTTTGAATTAAACTCTGCATAAAAAATTAATTTATTACTTAATTCTGTAATTATTTCTTTATAATCTTTCTTCTACTTAAACTCTTTGATTTTTTGAACACTGTCTCCAGTCTTAGATATCTGTTAATTTCTTAATTAAATGAATTCTTCCTTGACTTATTCAGTCAATAAACATCTTAACAGTCTTCAATAAGTTGGGCATATGCTAGGAACTAGAGAATCAAAGGTGAGAAATACCTAACTCTGATTTTAGGAAGTTGGGGAAAATGAGATTGCTATGGTCTGAAGGTTTATGTCCTTTACAAATTAATGTTAATGTTCTCACCCTAAAAGTCATGGTATTAAAAATTGGGGACTTTGGGGGTAGCAGTTAGTTCATTGTGGTGGAGCCCTTACAGAAGAGGCTTACAAGATCTGTCTTACCCTTTTCATTATGAGAGGATGCAGCATCTTTGAATCAAGAAAAAGGACCTCATCAGATGCAAAATCGGTCAGGGCCTCTGATTTTAGAGTTCACAGCCTCTAGAACTATGAGAAAAAAAATGATGTTTATAAGGTACCCATTTTATGATATTTTCTTATAGAAACCCCAACGGAATAAGACAAGTTAATAAACAATTTACTGTGATGGAGCTACAAATAGCATTTTCAGAGAAATCTTTAGGAAGAGAATTCACTTGAATCTAAGAGTGGTGGAAGCATCAGGTGAAGGTTCTTTGTGTGGGGCCTCCTAACTCAAATCCTCATAGGTAAAGGTGGCTGAGCAGTTGGAGAAGTGCTTGGGGTGGAGGGATACCTAAAGAAAAGAACACTCCAGGCAGAAAGTAGCAGGGGAAAAACCAGCCTGGAAAAATCCCAGAAAGCAAGAGACAGAATAAGATGTGCACGAACCTACAAATAGCTTGGTGTTAAGAGTAAACCAAAAGCCAAGAAGTGATGAGTGAGTCATTTGAGGACATGAGACAGATTTAAGAAAGTATTTTATAGACTTTATATACTGGGAGAACTGAAACCACTCAAGAGCTAAAACCCAGTATGGAGATCATACACACTTCGATTCATCCATCCCTCCATCTGTCTGTCTGTCCATCCATCTCTGCATAACAAGGCATTTTTGTTGTTGGTCACTGTTGTATTTTCAGCCCCTATCACATAGTGTACAATCAATAAATATTTATTGTATTTTAAATACAACAAGTGAACATATATTGAGTGCCTCTAATGAGTACCCCTGGAAACTCAATAAAGAATGAATTTTCTCAGCAAAGGACTAGAGCTTGAGAGATAGTTTGGGAGTTTTTTTTTTTTTTTTTAGCAGAAAGGTAAGAGGAAGGTGAGAGGAAAATATCTTAGTGACTGATTGGCAGTGGAGGATGAAAGAGATGGAGAAGTCAAGATACTTTTATATTTGTAACACAGGTGACTGGTTGCCACCAAATGAGATAAAAAAAAAATACCAGGAGTACAAGCTTTTGGAACAATGAGGATAAAATAAATGTACACATGTGAAATCTGAGTTTCCAAAGAATTAACTAGGGAGGATTGTTCAAAAAACATAGAAGTGATCTATGCTGGAGTCACTGGTTTGAAATATATTCCTTTATAGAAAATTGGTGATTTGAGAGATGGAATAAAATCATTCAGATAAAGTAAATAGAGTGAGAAAAGCCAAATGCCAAGGATTAGGTCCCAAGGAATACCAGTATTTTAAGGGATGCATAAAGGAAGATAGAACACTCTACTGCAGAAATAATAGTCATCATGAACAAGGTGTGGAGAGAACCAGGACGGAATGTTTTAATAAAAATCAAGAGAGTATGAATGCTGTTAGAGGAGGGAATAATTAATAGAATCAACTGTTTCAGAACGATTTTCATAAAATTTGTCAACTCAGAGGTCATTAGTAAATTTATAAAGTACTTCCAAAAAAGTATAAATTGATAATCAAAGCATAAGAGAAGGGTTCAAAATCGTCATTGAAGACTGGTTTCTAACAATTTAAAGTTAACAATTTAAATCAAGATGGTTGACGGTGATTTGAGAGGGTATTTTATTATCTAGATAGTTTATTTGTTTTAGGATAGATAGTAATTGTGCATGCATTTAAGGACGTGATAATATGCAAATTTCTTACCTCAGCATATTTGAGGTCCTCAATAGACTTCCATCACCTGTCTACATATTTCTTGTTACAGTAGGTTCAGCAGCAGGTTCATGGAAACATGCTGCTCACTCAATTTGCTGGTTATGGAGTACTTCTGACTTTTAGGCTTATTCGTTAATTCTTTCAACAAATCTTGTTGAGCATCTACTTTGTTCCAATCCTTACAGCTCGTAGTCTTTTCTTGACTTTTCTAGTTCTTGGGTTTTTTATTATTATTATTATTATTTATTAAGGCCTAACTCAAGCCCAGTCCCTCTTCAAATTCTTTCCCCAGTGATCCCAACTTGTATAAATTCCTCCTCTCTCTGGTGACTTGCCATATGTATTTATCTGTTTTCTATTGCTAATAACAAACATAATGTGACAGGGTAAGTGATAAAAAAGAGGTTTATATGCAAGTATATATATGTATGTGTGTGTGTATATGTGTGTGTGTGTGCATATATATATATATATATATATATATATATATATATATATATACACACACAATATTTTACCAGACTTCTAAAAATCAATAATAATAAACTGCCCATATTGCAAATGACTAGAAAAGTCATTTTTTAATTACTCAAAAATAATGTTGGAACAATTGAATAACTAGGGAATAATGATATTTGTTTCCTAACTGATGTACCAAATAAAATATAAGGCCACACTGTATTTTTTCTCATATTTTTCCTATATCTCTTTTCTCCCATCGAACTGATTATCAAGCTGTCTCCCAAAACTGTTCTTATCTCTTCATCCATCATGGTTAGTTCAGGCCATTGTCATTGCCCACTTGATTCACTGCAATCTTTTTAAATATGTCTCTTTGTCCCCAGTCTCTACCTCTTTCAGTCTATCTATTTGTTGCCCCAGAATAAATCTATTAAAACTCAGTTTGTGCTATGTCACCTATCTGCTTAACATCTTTCCGTGACTCAACATTGTCTTCACAATAAACACGCATCCTACCTGCTCTTCCCTGCATAACTTACGGTTGCCTTTCTGCATCAGATCCAGGAAGTGCTGTAAGTACCCCTATATGTGGAGCACCAATACAGGGTAATGGTTATTGTTAGCACTGCTTTTTGAATGGCAGGAGATGTCTCCCCAACAGAAAGCACCCACCAATTTCCCCTTCAGCCCAGGAGTTGAAAGAATGCATTTTCCTTCTAATGTTCCATTCACTGTGGCCTTGTTATCTTCATTTTGCCTTACACTCCTAAAGATCCCTTCACTTGGATATTAGAGTGGTCAGAGCATGGTGTTTTAAGTACCCATCTGTGAAAATAATTAATAAACTTCCACTACAGGATGGAACAAAAGAATTTGGTAGTGAAAGTGGCCACCTCTTAGAGGCACATTAATAAATAATTTATCTGGTCTCTTTCCAGGTTAAGTTCTTTCCTTGAGGTTTTCAGAATACTTTCTATACTATTCTACTTTGCTCAGAGTATCATTGACTTGGTTTACAATTATCTCCATCATTTGATTAGTAACTCCATTAGGACAGGGATTGGGTTAAGTGTGTGTGTGTGTGTGTGTGTGTGTGTAGGTTTTGATTTTTATATTTCCCAGAAACTAGAGAAAACAGTCTTGTGTTTGTCAAGGAGGTAAACCAGAAACACAACAAGTCTCTTTATTTCAGCAAAGAATGTTAAAAAAAAACCTTTCTTTGTATTAGTTCAGTGGATGAAGGGGTATGTATCCTTAAACCTGAGTAAGGTCACACCTGCTTTTCACAATCTTCCTCAGCTTAAATAACCCTGTTGGAGAATTGTTTTTCTTCCCTTCCTTACATAGCATAGAAATGAAATTTTCATCATGTGACCAGAGATTATCAGTATCTATATATGCATTACTGTGGTACTGATGCAATTAACATGCTTTCTGAACGGTTAATACCAGCTACATCAATTGTATCTGAAGATATTGTAAGTTGAGTTGTATTCTGAAAACAATTGACATGCCTTGGCATATGTTTTTAACTTTTTGAAAAATTTTGTTTTGAACTAGAATTTTTCCATGCTTGGCCTTGAAATAAGAAGCAATTTAATTTGGAAAGGCTTAGGGAAAAACTGTTCAAATGGTTAAAACCTAGGAAAGAGTAAGAGAAATTAAATAGTTGAAAGTCAATTTGAATAATTTACACAGGATTGAACTTTAAAAGTCAGAATTTTCCATTATCATATTTTTACTAAGTAAGCACCTCATGAAGTATTTACCAAATAAACCTGTTGTAATATTTTCTTAGAACAGTTAATTGAGGGATGACTCAAATAAATGAAAGTATTTGTTTCAATATTTTTTTTCACCAGCAACTTCTGAATTTCTCCTTTGCCATTAAGAACCATCTCTGGACTTCTTTTTGAAGTCTTGTAGATTTTTATGTCGATTTTAGAAATGAGACACTCATGAATTATATTTTGAATTTCCATAATTCAGAATTAAATTGCTATCTTAGAAAAATTCTCAGTTATTTTATTTGTATTTACTTCACACCTTGTAGCAAATTTCAACCACACTAGTTCTGAATATTCTAGGTCTGCATAATTAGTAATGAGATAGACATGCTTTAAGTTATGTATATTTGTATATTAGATGGAGATGATAACAATAATGTGGTTCCTTAGACAGAAACCTTTTAGAATTTGTTGACATCATGTTTATGATTATATATATTCATATTTTGGAAACTATATGACTAAAGATAAAAAATAATTGTAGTTGTCTATCTAATTTTTGCTGCCTGTCTTTTGTTGTCTTCAATTCACTTACAACCAAATACATTTAGGACTTCAGCATATCATTTGGGGGAGGATAAAGTTCAACCCATAACACACATATAAAATTATTTACCTTGTATATACATTCACACATGTATAATATGGCATAACTATGACATAATATTCAGATACATATGTAAATGAAAAGAAACTATAACTGTAGATTTTATGAATATGCATTCATAAATTTAGGAATTTAAAAAGATAAGATTCTAAAATATGCATTATAAAAACATTAGAGAATAGTCTAAATTTTAACCAATAATGAATTAATACACATATGATTTATTAATAATAATTAGATACTAGTAATGTCAGAGTGCCCCAAACACCTTGTGTTTACTGTCAATCTAAATTTAGGATTAAGTCTGTGTCCCTGGGATAGACATCTAGGTCATCTTTAAGACCTCCTATTGCTTAACTTCTTTATAATGTTTGTTAAAACTTCACTTCTTGTCTATTGCCTTTTCATATCCAAATTTCATTGAAACTTCAAAATGAAAAGTTTCCAACTACCTGCCATGGATCTCTCTCCCCTCTGCTCTTTATACCGTCATCTGTCAGTTAAACTGTTTTTTTCTCTGTTCCTTCAGCACATCATACTAATGCTTGCATGCATTTTGTACCACCTGAAACCTCTCTCCTCCCCTATACCTGCAAAGCTTCAAGGCCAGGCCCACTTATATTTTGCCTTTAACTATTCTCTGAAGATGAAATCCTAGAAATGGTTCTTCCTTAACTCCTCTGGCACTCACGAAGGTCAGTTAGATTTGAATAAGCACTTACTTAGAAAACATAGACATGCAGTGGATTAAGACCAAGATTTGTTTTATTGTTTTGTCTCTCATAACACCCAGCACTGTTCTCACATGGTAGATGTTATAAGTGCTTACTAATTGATTACAACAGGGAAAGAGAATTATATAAAATTAATTATCACTGGTGAAGAGTACCACAGCCTCTACACTGTTGCTTTAATTTTAAGATCATGTTCATTAATTGAGGAATACCAATGAATTACATCATTCCAAGCAATTCAAATGTAAATTCTAATAATCATACTGTAATATTTTCTATTTTAGTTAGTTTTTATAAATATAAATTCAGCTTTTAAACATTTAAACTTTCTTTAAAAATATTAATTTTGTAGATTAAGTACTTAAAGACTCCAGTCATGGTAAGCTAAGCCCTAGCGTGTAATATCAATTGTCCTCTATTCTGTATCATAAGTTTTACTCTTTCTCATTGGCATTTAAGCCTGTGATCATTTTTCCTCAATATGCCTTTTTTTAATAAAGTTTTCTTGATCACCCATCTTCTATTAGCTACTGCTTTGGAGTTGTCTGTTCCAGCACTTCTCAATGATAACAAACATGCAGATCACCTGAGAATCTCCTTAAACCATAAACTCTGATTAAGGAGTTATGTCCTTGATTTACAAATTATTCCACAGCTTAGTGACACAAAACGACGTTCATCTGGACACAGCCACACTGGATGCCTTTGATGTAGGATCTTCAACGTGATCTGTAGTCAAAGTGTTTCCACTGTAGTTACCTCCAAGCTTGCCTTGGGGAGGATCCACTTCCAAGCTCCCGACCCTGGCTGTTGGCAGGCCTCATGTCTTGTGAGGTATTGGTGAAAGACATCCATTTTCTGCTGTGTGGACCTCTCAAGAGGGTAACTCACAGCTTAGCAGTTTGCTCAGGTTGGGGAGGGAGTAGTGGACAATCCAGAGCCAGTCTTTTTATAATCTAAAGGGTAAAACATCTCATCAAATTTACCAAACTGTGTTAGGAGGCCATTACTAAATCCAGTTCACACTCAAAAGGAGAAGTCACATGGGACATAAATAAGAGGAACTGGGAGTCATTGTGTTCCTATTAAAAGTTGCCTGCCTCAGTGGATTTAGGATATACCTTGAGATACTACGTGTCTAAGAAATTCCTGGGTGATGCTCGTGCTACTGATCAAGAATCTCACTGAAGATCAAGAGCCTTCACTTCTTGCCTTCAGTTCCTTTCCTTTTATCATCCTCTATGATTACACTCACTCCACTAGGCTTTCTCATTCTCTTCGTCCCTGGAACTGCCTTTGTGGAAGTCACCAATGACCTCCACATTACCAAATTCACCATTTTAAAAGACTGATAGTTCACTGGAGAATATCATGCTAAGTGAAATAAGTCAATTCCAAAGAACCAAAGGCCAAATGTTTTCTCTGATATATGGATGCTAATTCACAATGAGATGGGGGGGGAATAAAGGTATTTTTGATTATACGAAGGGGAGTGAAGGGAGGGGAGGAGGTATGGAGGTAGGAATGTTAGTAGAATAAATCAGATATTATTACTCTATGTGCATATACAATTATATAACCTGTGTAACTCTATATCATGTACAACCAGATGAATGAGAAGTTATACTCCATATGTATAATGTGTGAAAATACATTCTACTAGTAGTCATGTATAACTAATTAGAACAATTAAAAGAAAAGTAAGTTGTGAAGGGTCTGAAGCCACCTTAGAGATAATTCATGTCTCCAACCTCCAAGGTACTAGGAATTCTCACATTTAAACAGCAGATTTAATAGAACAACATTAGCACAGAGATTGGAAAAAACATAGATTCAAAACTTGAGTTACTTCAAGCTGGTCTTTCTACATGACCTCAAAGTTTTCATTTGTATTTAAAATTTAAAAAGGTATGAGTACAAACTGCAAAGTGCATGCAAATTTTAAGTCACATATGAAATATTTTAAAAAATGGTAACACTATCTTTAAAATTGAGACGTGTGCCTTTAAAATTGTTATTACTAAGTTGGAACATATTCTTTTTAATTTAAAACTGAAGAGTGAATAGAGAAAATTAAATATTATGGAAAATGTAAAAAAAAAAAAGTGATAGTTCATTATATGTGAACCTTTCTTTACTTGGCTTCTGGAATACCAGATTTACATTTCTTCTCAGTCTGTTTTGCTACTTACCTCTCTGTAATGTAAGTCCACAATGAAATCCTTGAACCTCTTTTTACCATCTACAGTTAACTCCTAAGTGGCATCCTTCATGTTTTTAAGCTTTAAATGTCAGATATATGCTAACCACTCTCAAATTTATTTCTCTATTTGAACTTCCCTAAAATCCTAACGTGTATCAAATGTCTAATGAATGCCTCACTTTGGACATCCACAATAATTTCAAGCTTAAAATGTACAAAACAGATGTCTTTGCTCCTTCCCCTGTGACTCCCCCCACCACCTAAGTCCATCCTGGTCATGTTGCTTCTCGTCCATGTTTACAAAACCAACATACAGCAACACTCTTCAATCAGTTGTTCAAGTGAAAATCCTGGAAGCCATCCTTGGGTCCTCTCTTACTCTCCTATGCAAACAGTCCTAAGTTTCATCAGTCTTACCCCATAAGTGCCGCTTCAATCTCCCCGTCACTCTCCTTTCCAATGTCACCGCTGGAGTTTAGTTCATTGCTACCTATTATACAGATTTCTGCATCTGTTAGCAGTTTTCAATCTCCAACTCAAGTGATCTTGGTTTTTTTTTTTTGGTTTCTTTAATCCTATAGCCTAAAACTTTAGCCCCTTTGGTTATTCCTTCCTAACCTGCTCTCTGTACTTAAGCAAAGTAGGAACTGGGCTATGATTTAAGCTTTTGTCTGACTCCAACTCTTCATGAAAATTGTATCTCTTCTATAACCTTCTTCGTTCCCTTCTTTGCTTATCTTTGCCTATCTGCCTTCTTTGCCTTAAATAAAATTTCAGCTTAAACATGACTTATTCCTAAAGTATCATCGGCCTCTTAGGACAGGTTTGAGGCACCCACAATAGAGTCCATAACATTGTATACTTACCTATCTAAATGTCATTTCATTTTATACTAATAATTTAGTATCTTCTTCCCCATTTACTGAAAGCTCTGGGAAGGCCTGATCAACAGAGATAGATCCAAGTATTTTGAAACCTGAAACATAATTTGAGGGGCGCAATTTCAAATAAAAATACAACACACCCATATTCGTTTATAATAAGGAATCACAACAAAGTATGAAATTAAGGAAAGTGAAAAATATGAAATTATATGACCTTATGAACACACTGCTAGGGGTCATTTCCAGGAGCCTACAGTGTAAGCTTCTTTAAATTCTCAGTAGATCTGTATCATAATCTTAGTCTTTTTCAAAGCTTTATTTCTAGTGGCAAGAACAGTGCTTAACCATAGAAGGTATTCAATAAATATTTGTAATTAATCACTTAACTGAATTATTTTGTATTTTCATGTATGCAGTTTCAATATGTTCTTTTGAAGATTTAGATTTATAAAACACATTTTATGTTATAAATTTTTCTTACAGTTATAATTTTCAATTATTTTCTATGATCATATTTCCAAATTCTAATAATACATATTATTAGTTATATCACTGGACTTTATTTATGTAGAAATCCTGTTGTACCTCTACAAAGTAAAACAAAAAAGTTGTAATTTGCATCAAAATATGCAGAATAATTTTCTATATGTGTGTCTATAGTTTTATAGACCATATAATAAAACCTTAAAATTAAATTTGAATGACTGTGATTTTTTTAGATAAAATCCTATGAGAGGAAGTCATCTATTTTCTGTTATCATTATAATAGACTTTGATAAACATTTATCTCCAAAATAACAAAGATGTCAATATTTTATGAAACCTACAAAACATAAAATGTTTTTTTTCATATAAATTCGTCCACAAAATAAAGGTTATTAGGGTTGGGGTTGTAGCTCAGTGGTAGAGTGCTTGCTTAGCACATGTGAAGCAGTGGGTTCAGTCTTCAGCACCATGTAAAAATAAATAAAATAAAGGTATTGTGTCTATCTACAACTAAAAATGCATATTAAAAAAAAATAGAGGTCACTTGAGTCCAGGCAATAGCATATCATTCAGAAGATAAGCCACTTGGCTTCAATCTTTGATGTTCAATTTGTTAAAATAAAGTAAGTTTAGTTAAGTTCCTTCTATAATAACACTGTAAATTTGCCAAGGATTTGCTATGCTCATATCAAGATTGTCAGGTGTGTGTTCATCTATATGTGTGTGTGTGTGTGTGAGTGTGTGTTATAAAGTACAGCCCTCTGATCAATGCGCACTCCCCCCCCCATTTTCCTAAATACATCATGAAAAAAGGATGAGGTTTCCGCCTTAATTGCTTGTGCCTTTTATTCACATTCCTCTCTCAGCCAGAATTGTGAAAAGAGTGTTAGTAAAAGGCTGCACAATAGAGCTTTTCATTAGGCCTCAGCAAGGCACACAAAAGAAGGCTTTTGGAAAGAGTGAATGCATGAGTTTAATTTGCAGGTGGAGAGTAGATAAAAGGTGCTGACGCCTCTATTATTCTCTTACTTAGGTGACCCTTACCCTGTTCAGCTGATCCCAACTACCATGGCAGCTGCTGCCGCAGCAACACCAGGCTTAGGCCCACTCCAACTGCAGGTAAGTCAGGAAACAATGAGGAGGAGACAAAGGTTAAGTCAATATGGAAAACAGCTATTATCGTGTTAAAACAAAATACAACTGACTAGTGATATTTGTGTCACACATTTTTGTTTTTAAATTTATTTATGCTGATCCTCAACCAAACGTTGAGGTGCTGATTCTTTTCATTTTTCAACCTGGTTCTGTACTAAAGATAGTGTATTCTAATTTTTTACTCCCTGGTACAATTTAAGAAAGTGAACTGTAGTTTTGCTTTGATTACTATGTGCTGTAATTTTGTCACAAAATGGCCCCCATCATGATAAAAAGAGAAAGAAACCCTGTAAAAGATATTTGATTTTTGAACACACTTATAGACCAAGGCAACTTAACAAAAAATTTTCAGTAAAATTACTGAAGAAATTATTATAAAAACACTCTGTAGATCTCTTTGTTCTCCCGTCCATGTCAGCTCATTTGAGCCAAGGGGGAAAAGCAGGAGCCTAAATGAGTATTACTTTTTATCCCAGACTTCCCAAGGAACACCTATTTGCTGTGCAGAATAGATATTCCCATCCACCCAACAATATCAGCAATAACTTTACCAGGTATCCAAAGATTTCAAAAATTATGACTTTGAGGTTGTAAAGAGGATTAGTAAAGTTACAGTAAAGGTTGCTTTCATCATCTAAATCTTTGAATCAGCACCACACAAAATATTCCATAGTTTCTATTGTTGTAGACTTTATACTTATGCAATTAATGAGAATAGAAGATAATCTAATAATAGGGTTATCTCCTCTTGAGAAAGGTTTATACATTTCTCAGGCTGAAAGACTCAGTATGCCTGCAAAGCCAGATATTAAACAGTTGCACTTAACAAAATTAAATTGTATTCATGAAAATGCATTGTCATGATAGATGATCTTCATCTATAAAGAGAATATAGTTTTATATTGTAGCATTAAGAGATAGATTCATCTGGTCTGCACATGGATTTGTCAGAAGACTCATGGGTTTCTGAAAGACCCGTTGAGCTTCACAGGAGGGACCACCGGTGTGAAGGCAGAAGCATACTGTGTTCTACAGAGCTTAATAACATCCATTTCTATTCCACCTTCTTTTTTATGAAAAACTACACTCTGAGTGTCTAATTCTTTGAGCTGGAAATACCTTGGGAAGTGTTGGAGCCATGGGGACAATAAAAGTAACATAACATTTGTTATCCTTTGAAATGGCATCTGGGAATAACTATAATACGAAAAAGTGATTGTAACTGGTAAAACTAAAAATTTAGAGTAATGAAACTAAAGGAAGGCAGAAGAATGTCCAGCAATAGATTTGAACATGGGAATAGGAGTTCTAGAGATTTAGGATTCCAGCTTTCAGAGCAAGTGAGGCATTATCATTTCGAGTTGGAGGGATCCCTTGTGTTTCATTGTAGGACTCTAGTAGAGAGTAGCCTTGTCAAATGGCAATCTAACCTTCTTTCCTACAGATGTAGCATTAGAATATTGTATTTCCCTCCTTATAGTATGTTTTGAAGCATTCATAAGATTTTAAAATATCAAAAAATGATTTCCTGTTCTTGCTTTACATTGATATTTAAAAAATTTGATCTGTAAATCCAAGCAGGATTTGAATCAGCACCACACAAAAATATTCCATATTTCTCACTATTGTGGACCTTGTACTTACACAGTTGTTTGTATTTTGCATTGAGATTGGGTTTTGCTGAGTTCCCAAACTGGCCTCACATTTACAATCCTCCTACTTCAACCTTCTGGGAACTGAGATTACAGGCACAAATTGTTGTACGTGGCTTTTGCTTTGCTTTTTACACAACTGGTTTTGTACCCATTAAAACCGATAAGTTTTAGTTATGGCTTCAGATAATCAACACTAATACAACAAGAAAATCAATGATCTAAAACTCTTTCACAAAAAAAGCCATTAACTATCATTAAAACATATTCACAAAGGTGTGTGCGTATGCGCATGTGCATACACACACACACAAAACCATACACATACGTGTGCCTTTATTCAATGACAAAATGATTGATATTCATACACAAACACATTGATCTCATATGCAAACACATCACAGAAGCAGTCATAGCAGAAACTCTGGCTCTTTGGAGGGCACTTTCACCTTTACCAGGCTGTCTGTACCAACTCACTTTATTAGTCATGTGTAATACTGTATTCACAGACCCCTGAACTTGACTTCAGCATTCTTAGAGCCACAAAGGATACCTGTTACAAACCTACCCACATGGGCCAGAGAAAAGCTAACTATAATTCCTAATCAGAAAGTTTTATCTTAACCTTTACACAAAATCCACCACCAGTCTTATAAACCTATTTTTGAGAAGTTTCGTTTCAGTGTGGAGTAAACATTATGAACCATGTTTAATTTTCTCCAGACTCTGCTTTTAATTATATTCTGTTAAATCTCCACTGTTCATCTCTTACATTGAATAGATTACAGAGCTTCCTGGTTCCTTTCAGTTTTTAAGATTCAGTTCTCTGGCCAGGCACAATGGCACAGGACTATAATCCAAGCTACGGAGGAGGCTGAGGCAGGAGGATTGCAAATTCAAAGCCAGACTCGGCAACATAGCGAGGCCCTAAGCAGCTTAGCAAGATCCTGTCCAAAAATGGGGATGTGGCTCAGTAGTTAAGTTCCCTGGCTTTGATTCCTGGTACTTAAAAAAAAAAAAAAAAGAAAGAAAAAAGAAAAGAAAAAAAGAAAGAAAGAAAAAAGGACATTCTATTTCGCTCATAACTTTAATCTCTACCTGATTCACATCTCACTACTTCCTCTTTTCTCATTAATCACGAATCCCAACTCTTGAGACCAGAAGTGAGAAAGAAAGTAGATAACTTCTCTACCTTCCTCAATTCCAACTTAGCACCTGTGGAAATGCAGATTGACAAAAGTGTCTCTGCCACTTAGACACCTTGGAGATGATGATGGTGATACTGATGCATGCTTTCTTTGGATACTTTGCAGCTTTTCCTGGTTTCTGTCCAACCCTCTTAATTTGGGATATCACCACTGTGGACCAGAGGCTGATTTGGTAGTAAGATGCCTTCCTCTTTCTTCAATCTCAGTGCACCTTCCTGGAGCACACTGCAGTCCTCTGCTTAGGTCCTCATCTGTGTCTTCTAGGACCACCACAGGTGCACAAAGTCTTGGTCCCAGTTTCCAGAAAATATCCCATCCTTCTCCTCAAACCCACCCCCAGCTCTAGAAAACTGCAGAAGAATAAACAGGAATAGCTGTGTCTTTAGTTGCACACCCCTAAGCCATCACATGCCAAGTTTTCTGAAGAACTCTCACCATTGTCCAAGTAGGTAAGATTTTAGGTTTTTAACACAATAGAACTGAGTCTGCAGCAGCTCAGTTCACAATAGCAAAACTATGGAAGCAATCCAGATGTCCTTCAACAGATGTGTGGATAAAGAAACTGTGGTATATATACACAATGGAATATTACTCAGCATTAAAAGAGAATAAAATTATGGCATTTGCAGGTAAATGGATAGAGTTGGAGAATATCATGCTAAGCTAAGTAAGCCAATCCCCTCAAACCAAAGGTTGAATGTTCTCTCTCATAAGTGGATGCTGATCCATAATGGGGGTGGGGGGCATAGGAAAAATGGAGGAAATATGATTAGGCAAAGGGGAGGGAAGAGAAGGAGTATAGTAGAATGAGAAGGACATTATTACCCTAGGTACATGTATGACTGCTACATCATGTATAAACATAAAAATGTAAAGTTGTGTTGCAATTATTTGTGTACAATGTATCAAAGCACATTCTGCCATCATATATACCTAATTAAAATACATTAATTAATCTTAAAAAAAGATCCAAGCACTCCATAAAACTGTAGACCTAGTGCTCTTTCTTTTCACTTCCCTCACCAGATATCACCTCATATGTATTGTGGGATAGAAAAGGTAGAGTGGGGAGAATGAGAAACAGATAAAGGACATCATAGTGTTGATTGAATGAGGGCTAGATCACCCAGGTAATGAGGGGAGATGGTGGTATGGATGCTGTCTGCTACCGAAGGCTGGTATCATTTTTTTTTCTTTTGGAATTATTAGGCAGTTTTTTGTTGTGGCTTATTTACTTACTTATTTTGTTTTCTGTTTTAGCTTGATGTGTTCTTATTTATCTTAAATAGTGAGTGGTAAGCTCATAGGAGCACTTCCTAAGGAGTCAGCAGTGGGAAGGGAAGAGTTGGGGTAACAGCACGAGGACCAGTTGGGGGAAGAACTGAAATAGCCTTGGCAAAGAGAAAGTGATTCTCTGAATGAATCTTCATTCTATGGTAGTGGGAATAGTGTAGTAGGAAGTGAAATATGTATTTTAAACAAAAAGTATGATGATGTTTCATTCTCCTTGGGCCCAAACATAATGACTGACCTTACATAAGTGCCTTCACAACTAAAGTCACTAAGTTTTATGGACTACTTTATTATGCTAGGCTCCTTGGTTAAGTTTTACATGGATTATCTTATTTAATTATTACTACAATACCTACATACCAATATACCCTTTTGACAAAAAAGGGAAGCTGGGCCACAATCTAAACTCCATGGTTCTTAAACAGTTACATTCCTTCTCCAAGTACAGGGGTTTTTATCTTCAATATTGGAGACATTGCCCCTCTTTAGACATTTAATAACTCAGTAACTGGCTAATCAAATTATAACAATAATGCTGATTAATTGGCACTAATACAAATACTTTATGTACTTTGCAGTACTAAAAGGAGCAGCAGGAATTATGATGACAGCTGTCTACTTCAGACTCTGAATTTTCCATTTCATGCCTCTTTACACAGATATATGTTAATTCAAACTACTTTTTTTTTTTTATAATACCGAGAGCTAATAAAGGGCATTTTAAATGTGTTCCTACTCATGGTTGACTTTGTTTACCTACCATTTGTGTTTTCTTTTGAAATAGCCTTTTGCATATAATTCTTCACACTTG